TTAGTAAAAGATCAATAAATTAGTATAAAATAAGTTAATTTGCCAAGTTTCATCAAAATATATCCGTAAACAAGCAAAATACAACAGTTTACTTATTCTCCATAAGATTAGTACCGGTATAGTAATTTTAATCAGAATTTTTTTTTAATTTAACATAAATAACATAAAACCCATTCAATATACCGAATTATTTGTTTGAAGCTCTTTAAAATGGTATTGAGAGGAATTGGGGATTTTTTTTTGTTTTGAGGGTTAAATTAAGAAAAACCAATTTTTGCCCCATGACCCCCCCCCCCCGTACAATCCCGTTCCTATGGTCCAATAATTCTGGTTCGTGAACCGATTTTATTTTATCCCACCCTACACCTTCAAGCAGAATTATATCGAAATCGGACCAAAACTACTCAAGTTATCGCGGCCTCGACATACATAGATATCAAATATTAAAAAAAATTAACGAATAGTGTTTTTGTCCTCTGGGGACATCAAAATGATCAAATAAATCGGTCCTCGGCCCAGGTATTACCATGAGACATACGGTTGTAGCTACTTCCCTATATAGTGCAGTAAAAATAAGAGAAAAATTCCATAAACCTAAAAAAAAATAGCACAACCGGGGAATTTGGTACAGATGTTGGGTGTACCTTCCTTTTGAACATACTAAAAGTCCCCTAAAATTGAAGCTGAGCTACGGCCGCCATATTGGAAAATGGTGGCATATTTCTGTATTTTTCGCTATAGTGACTTTATTATTAGAGATACATGAAAAAGCTAAATATACAAAATGTAGGTCATCTAAAAATACACATTTTTTGTATTTACTATATTTCTCTAAACCCAACGGTTTTTGAGTTATTTGTTATTAAGTATAGATAGTTTTTTCTATTTATCAAAAATAGGTGAAACACATGGAAATTGACCGTTACTTTCAAGAATTATGATAATTTATCCTATTTAGTTAAATAGTGTGATAATATAAAATCTAAAAATTTAAGCTTATTTTATGAGTAAAACAACTCTGCCACAGCAAACCTGCAGACTCAGCAAATTTCCTTTTGGATGTTTTATTAATTGTATTGAAATAAAATCAGATTCAACAGGTACCTAGGTTTGCTGCTACAGGTAGGTTATTATAGTGTGTTTTTTTTAGTAAAATATCAATAACTTAGTATAAAATAATTAATTTTCCAAGTTTGATCATAATAAATCTATAAACAAACAAACTGCAACCGTTAACTAATTCATAATACAGTAATAGCATCGTAGCTTAAGATTTACAATTTACAAATTTAAATATACAGATTTTGGTTGTGTTTACTAAAGATATGGCGATTATTCGTCACGATTCGAATACTAACCGAAGGGGTTTTCAAAAGGAGATGAAGCAAGTAATTTAAGTACTGTAATATTAACTCGTACCAAGTATCGGAAGTATTGTATGGAGTGAGGAAATCAACCATATTTTGTAAACTACGCAATAGTCATATTAATATTTTATACTCATTTGTACCCATTTAATAAATTAACATTTTAATATTTTGATGACACTACCACTATCACTCTGATATCAACTAAGTGGGATGAATAATTGTCGTAAACCTTGAAAGTAACCGTCGATTGCGATGGGTTTCATCGATTTTTGATAAATAAAACTAACTATAACATGCTTAATTAGTCACCAACATGAACTAGACACGAAAAACACCCTTCCAAATTTACAATGGGATGTCAAGTATAGTTAGTTAGTGTGGTGGTGCCATCAAAATACTAAAATGTTAACTATTAAATGGATAAAAAATTAAGATAAAATATTAATATGACTATTGCGTACTTTACAAAATATGGTAGATTACCTTACTGCATACAATATTTTCGGTGCTTGGTACGAATTAATATTACTTAAATAATAGGCTCCATCTCCTTTTGAAAACCTATTTGGTTAATATTCTAATCGTGACGAATAATCGCCATCTTTTTAGTAAACACAACCAAAATTTATATATTCAAATTTGTTTATTGTAAATTTAAAACTCCCATGCTATTCTTATGAATTAGTTAACTGTTGCAGTTTCCTTGTTTATGGATATATTTTAGTTATTTTATTAGTTATTTTATAGTAAGGTATTGATATTAAAAAAAAAACACACTATAATAACCTTCCTGTAGCAGCAAACCTAGGTACCTGTTGAACCTAATTTTATTTATATAAATTTTTTAATAAAACATCCAATCAAATGGAAATTTGCTGAGTCTGCAGGTTTGCTGTGGCGAAGTTGTTTTACTCATAAAATAAGCTTAAATTTTTAGATTTTATATTATCACACTATTTAACTAAATAGGATAAATTATCATAATCCTTGAAAGTAACGGTCAATTTCCATGTGTTTCACCTATTTTTGATAAATAGAAAAAACTATCTATACTTAATAACAAATAACTCAAAAACCGTTGGGTTTAGAGAAAGATGATAAATACAAAAAATGTGTATTTTTAGATGACCTACATTTTGTATATTTAGCTTTTTCATGTATCTCTAATAATAAAGTCACTATAGCGAAAAATACAGAAATATGCCGCCATTTTCCAATATGGCGGCCGTAGTACAGCTTCAATTTTAGGGGACTTTTAGTATGTTCAAAAGGAAGGTACACCCAACTTCTGTACCGAATTCCCCGGTTGTGCTAATTTTTTTTGGGTCAAAACATATTTTTACTGTACTAATAGAGAAATTCGCTAAAACAGTATAAACTTGAATAAGCTGATACATCATAACATTATGTGATTCCTTTGTAATAGCTTATAAAGAGGCAAAATATCAAACTAGGGGACAAAGGGCAAAAGTCAATCGGGTTTATCGGAGGACGGTGGGCTCCCCCCCTTAAATACCCCCCTCCCAAATGTCGCCCACACTGACCACACCGCGTTACAGTCTGCTAGATTCTAAACAATTATCAAACCGTAAACAGCGTAAAAAGGATTTCTTTAAATTGTTGGCTATACTATCAAGTTAAAAAATAAAATAATAATAAAGTTCAGATTTTAAAACGCTTAGTTATAAGACTGATATATAAATATTTATGTTTTTTACAAAGATATGTTTAACAAAATGTTTTAGTAACTACCTGAAAATGAGGTTCCATTAAATATTACTGTAATCAGTAAAGATTTTTCAGGAATGATTAGAGACTAAGTCTTTACAGCGTGCCAAAATATCTGGTGACTTTAATATGTTTTATTTATTCTTACGTTACTCGTCAACAATCAATAAAACCAAGTTGCAAAATCCTGAAAATTAGTTCCATGTCTACACAAAGAATGCGATTATGTGTATGCAAAGTTTTGTGGCATTCTTTAAATATTTACAAGAAAATTAAAACCCAACCTACATAAATACGATAATAACTATAACAACTGACTATTGTCTTGTCTACGACTAACAACTTGCCTCTTGTAAGTAAAAAAGGGCCATAAGGTATTATCGAATTGTATTTTATAATTACAAATAATTGTTTACATGATTAATGTTTTTTTTTTACGAAAGATTAATGCTACTTAACAACAATAAATAATTATAAACAACAAAAACAAACGATTCAATCAGCGGTTTTTTAAACTCCTGATTGACATAAAACAGATGATTGTTAATACAATGTAAAAGGAGTATTATCATTGTTTAAATGGAGAAAAGTGCTCATGCATTACCAAAAGAACACATTTATAAGTTATTATTTATCTAATCTTAACAAACAAGGTATCATTGAAAACTACATAAAATTTACTTACTTTTTGTCTCTTGTAAAGTGTTTGTAAAGTTAACGGTTTTCGTGAGATTTGGTATATGAAACTTGTTTTGTACAATCACAATGAACAGTAAATTCACATTCAGACAGGTCTTTTTGTAGTGAAGCTACGTACTCAGGAATTGATTGATTTACTTTTATATATTTACATAAAAAGTAATGCTGTGAAACTACAGCTGTTCGGTGAGGTGAAAACATGTCACTTAGTGATTTGGAAAAAGTAGCAAAATCTAGGTCTTTGATAGGTTTTAGAGGTCCAATTAATGCCAAAAGATTATTTTAGTGAACAGATCCAATTGAAGGGCAAAGAAGTTGTGCTTTTTAAAACGTTTTTATTAGGTTGAGCTCTTGTCCGGTAAAAATTTTACAATCAATTTTATTTCATTTCATCTTATTTGTTTTTGACAGCAAGATAATTTTCAAAGCGTTCCAAATAGTTTTTAAAATTTTCCTTTTTCTGAACGAAATTTGCAAATGGTTAAATACTTACTAACGTATTACTCTGTTGTACTGGAAGTTGAAGTTGAAGTTCTTCTGTAATCTTCGTTGCAAGTGTGATTTGGCTCTCAGTGAATGTTTTTAGTAGTGCTGTTAATTTTTCTGAATCTATAATATTGTATAAAATCGAAATTTAGAAAAGGTTCTGGATCCAAATGTTGAGTAGAACTTTTGAAAACTTTTTCCTCGTCACCAATTAGTTTGACTTTGAATTAGAGTTAATAATTGCACGCTTTTAAACAAACTCTTTTATTTAATGGAAAATTTATAAACTATGATTATAAAAGGTAAACACTGAACTACATTGTTTTATAATTAATAACAACAGCTGATCATAGAAAGTAGAAAGGATACTACACAGTAATGTTTTAAGAAGAAAATTTGAGGGTTAGGTTAGACCTTCTAAAATATTAAGCTAGGAAAGAATTGTTGATTTTTTATTAGAATACTTGTTCACGATTTGTTTAGTTAATATACAAAACATAATGAGGTTTTTAGTACAATAGTGCAAAAGATATTCGATGTTTTAATCGTTAATTTATTACCGCATCAAGGCTTGAATACCAAATCATTTTGGATAGTGTCGCTACGTTAAAATATCATGTTTCATTAATAATTACAAATAAGGGTTTTACGAGTAATTGAATCTCCTAACTAATATATATTGTCCTTGTCTTTGGTATACAATGATATTTTGGGACTAAAGCCAAATTCAATATGCTTACTGCCAGAGGTAAGACGCAATATATTTTAAATCAATATACATATTGCCTACATATTACTACATATTACTATCTTTTGGTTATGTTCAAAATAAACGTAGAAATAAACTAGGTTCAAAATGCTAAGTGAATGCCAAGTTGTAGATTAAAAGTTCAAAACTCTAATTATGTTTATGGTTAAATTGCATTGTAATAAACAGTAAATATCATCATGTAAGTACAGTTTACTACACCTACTGTTAATTTTACACCTGATGGGTTAGGTTAGGTAAGGTTAGGTAAGGTTAGGTTAGGTTAGGTTAGGTTAGGTAAAAATAAAGTAAACAAATGCAATAAAACATTTGTTAATTTACTACAAAATTCTTCATAGCTATCTTAAATTGCTAAGAATATACTTTTTTTAATACTGATAACTTACTTCAATAAATAGTTTTCTATTCAAACAATAATTTTTATTGATCATATAACCTGCCACACCAAGCACAAGTCACTTTAGTTAGTAGAAGGGATATTCCTCTCATTCAACTACAGGCCGTAATAAAGGTCGGAATCTTCACTCTCGAAGTACTCATGTGTTAGTTGCAGTTATAGCATATTGTCTCGTCTATTGCGTTGCCACCGTATTGGCTGAGGGTAAAGCATGGTGGTGGCAGGGTGATCGCAAGCCCATCCCTCCAGAGACAAGACTTAGATGGATCAATCCTTGTGGAGTCAATAATTATAAAGCCCCTTACAAGTCCATCTGGGAGTTTCCTGCTAGTCAAAGAAGAACCGGACAGGAGTGGAAAAGATTGATAACGGTCACTCGTCAGTCGATAGTAAACGCTCGAGAAAGCTTTGAAACTTTTAGACAGAGATATGTGAGTCACACTTTCGTTTTCTTAGTTTATCATTAAAATGTATGGTATCTACGTAGAAACGTAGATAATTATAAATACTATTTGAAAGTACTAATAATAGCAATATTATAGAGCTGAAAGTTTTTTAGTTAGTTTCTTTTTTGGCTCGATCACGATTACCGGTCAAATAGGGCAAAGATTTGATATGATCATAGCTCATATTCCTCATTAACATATAGGCATAATAATATCTCAGAAATCCTTTTAGGCTCCACCTCAGTAGCTTTGGAGTTTCCTTTTGTTATTCCTGTTTTGTAGACTTGACAGTTGTTTCAACTTAAAAAAGAAGTTGGATTCCATAATGTTCAATAAAAGTCATGCCTTAACAACAGGGTGCAACACTATTATTTTTGTTTGATTATCCGCTTTACTAAGCATAGGTACAGCAGCTAAATGATATTATCTTCTATTTATATTAGTGTCAAGACTCCACTAGTCCAGAGTTTGTGCGTTCATAACAAACTAGCAGTAAGCTCGTTCTCTGCACGGGGATATTGTAGTTAGTTGAGGCATTACTTAGTTATTCAGAATCACAGTTACAAAATATCTGATAGGCCCTGTGGTAAAATAGAAAGCTACTTTCTACACTGGTTAAAAGTAGTTGAATACTACCTCACTATACCGGTTAGCAGTTTTATTAACAACAGTGACGCTTACAAATAAGGGTACTCGTACCTATTATAACATGAGCTTTACATCAAGTCAGAAATATTGTAAATCAATTAAAAAATAATTGTAAAAATGATTTTTTTATTTAATGTTTCAGGTTTGTTTTCAGGTTTAGTTTTTCTGGTTCCACAATAATAACGTAAGCATTTACAATGATCCGTAATGTGCAGGTGAAAGAGACGTTCCAAGTAGATTTCTTCTCACATAATAAGGAATGGGAGAAACACGACTACAATTGGCTTCCAAACATACCCAAGAAACTTGGAGAACCAGTTCCAAGAAAACAACTTGAAAGACCTATATATGTAAGATTTCCACCATTCAATTTGATCGTGAGGGATAATCAAAACAAACATTTTACTACTAGATAAAAATGTCGTAACCTTTTCGTAAGGTTTGGTGGTAGCCTATACTGAAATACCTTATATTACGTTTTTCCTAAACAGTAACTCATGATTGTTCCACTCATTCAGGCTTGAAATGTTGAAAATTATGTAAATTAAGTTAACGTACGTAATTCACACACAAAAACCTAGCACTTACATTCTCTCTCTGCTAAATGCATTTATCGAACGAGTGTTATATAATCTTAAACCTGTTGCAGTTTGATCTATTTGTGAAACTGATGACGCAATGGTTACAAATAGTCGATGTTGGATTAGAACAAGTTCTGTGGGACTGGAATTTAGAGACAGACCAAGGCAACCCTAAATACAAAGATGCATTCAAGGATATGTGGCATAAAAACAACCTAGTAAGTTCTATTTTTTATCTATTCATTTAATTTTGGAAAAATTTTGAACAACGACAAAGGAAATGCATTTCAAGGAAACATAACCAGGTGAAATTGAACATTTGTCAAGAAGAACTGGGATTAACTGAAAATTAGGTTGCAGCGTAATGCTTGTAAATAGTCGGTTGTTAACTGACGATGCTAGGTTAGCTGTAGTCTAAATCAAATGTGAAAATGTACAATACTTTTAATTGGTTCAAATCAAATTAAATATTCTTTATTACCGTAAAACACAGTTACATGAATGGCTTGAATCACATTGGTTACCTATAGCAGCCATAGAACTAAGGAAATGATAAGACACCTGCGTTTTTAGATCCATGCATGCAAATAAGCTCAGATGTTTGTCGAGACGTCAAAACCAAAGAACTTCAACTATTAAAATTATTGCGTGAATGTCAATTTTGTATAGGTTTATTTATATTCAAGAGACCTCAAGCTATAACACATAATTATGTGAAACATCATGGCTATCAACTTACATGTTACAATGGTTATTTGTTTTAGGTACTGTGTGATATGTGGAAATATGGGAAAGACCTCGGGTTGAATATACATGACGTAAATAGGAGTATCATGCCTAACGAGTTCCGTGATATTCAAGATGAGACAACCAGAAATATTCGGGACTGGATAATATTTAAGTCCTACATGAACCTCCTTGAATATATGGCTGACGTTCTTAAATACTTTTTGGATAAGGATTATGGTCTTTGGTTCGATCCAGGTTATTTATCCATAACCTCCAAGATGCGTCCTTCAGGATAACTCTACAAGACCCTTAGATATGCCTTTGTCTAGACCCAATAAATACTAGTGTCTACCAAATTTATGAACAGTTTTTTCTTCCTAAATTGTTGCGTATTTGAGATCATATACAATATATCTATTATCTATTATCTATTATAAATTATCATTGAGACGAGGACACTACCTAGGTGCGTATTTTAACCCAAACATAAGGGAAGGATGGGTGTAGAATGGTATCAGATGATCTGTGTAGCTTTTACTGACTATGATCAGCTGTTTCATTAACCAGGAGCATTTATTTAAAACCAATGATCAGACAGGTGATCACCAGGAACATCTGGATCCAGTTTCGAATCATTAAAAAGCTTACTTTTGAAATCACGAAAAACTGACTTTTCTCAGGATCGCCCTTTGATTGTTAGGCGAGCACTAAAATCACTCGGTTACCCAGCCATTATATGAATTCCATTATACATAAACTCTGACTATATGAAAATTCCTCAAGAATGACTTTACAAATAATGCGCTCATTAAAATATTAAACAACAATACTAATATGATGCTGTAAAATAAAACTGACACATTTCACTGTTATTTTAGCTTATTTTATAGTTTGAGTTGAGTTCATATATAGAACTAGGATTGCTTTCATGGCAGAGAAAGCCAATTGAGCGGAGCAATCACGTTTATGGTTTTCAATAAAGCAATATTTTATCAATTCAACTTACCAGTTTCGCTCATAACTATCAACAAATATAACAAGTTTAAGTAAAGATGTGGATTGAGGACATAACATATTTATCCTTTGTATCGGCATTTTCCAGTGTTCACTTGCTAATGTCATCTGGTAAACCCACAGTTCGGGTTGAACCTAAACCAATCAACATTTTCTAAATCTTGCCCAGAAATGCAATTCGAGCAGAAATAATCCTGCATGGATCCATACAATTAGGAGATGTAGCCGTTTAAAGGCTGGCCAGCTGAGAGAATTGTACAAATAGTTCTCACCATACCGTATGAGGTTTGTTTTCTTAAACTTTCTACATTTAACATAATTATGAAAAGCATTGCTTTCAAGCAAGTTTTCTACATTTTACTATCTCAAAACATTGCCAGAAGTAGTTGTTCGTGCGTCCCGCGCGTTTTTTGCTTACCTTCATTTTCTACAAATATTAGGAATTTTTTCGAATTAATTCTGAAGTTTTCCTTAATATGAAACTCCTATGCGAATAAGGTATTTTATTGTAAAACAAAAACGCAAAAAATAATTTATCCTTCTTGGGAAATCATATAACCCAAGTCGTTGCCTATACAATCAATTACGTACACCAAATGTGTTGCCAACACAACAATCAATACCGCACAACAAATGTGTTGCCAACACAACAATCAATACCATGCAACAAATGTGTTGCCAACCCAACAATCAATACCGTACAATAAATGTGTTGCCAAAACAACAATCAATACCGTACGAAAAATGTTTTGCCAACACAACAATCAATACCATGCAACAAATGTGCTGCCAACTTAACAATCAATACCGTACAACAAATGTGTTGCCAACACAACAATCAATACCATGCAACAAATGTGCTGCCAACTTAACAATCAATACCGTACAACAAATGTGTTGCCAGCACAACAATCAATACCATGCAACAAATGTGTTGCCAACTCAACAATCAATACCGCACAACAAATGTGTTGCCAACACAACAATCAATACCGTACAACAAATGTGTAGCCAACACGATGATAAAATGAACAATATTTCAAAGTAAATAATAAAAAAGTATGTTCATAATAGCCTATTTAGAAAAAAATATAGATTTAAGAATACCTCGTTATTTAAAACTGCAGAGTCATGTAGTTGTTTAAATTCCCAAAAAACTATCGATAAACCTTATTTGTTATAATCTTATTTAGCTACGTAAATCAAATTTGTAAAATATTGTACCAGTTTGATCAGTGGACGTTTCCAAATTGCGACCTACATGTAAACTTAGGAGTTTCTCTGTATTTTTTGACCAGTGGTAGATTTGTTTCCTTTGTACTGTGTTTAGGTCGTGGCTTGATTTTAACATATGCTATGATTTAGCATATGTTAAAATCTAAAATCTAAAAATCTATCTGTTAAAATCTGGTTTGTTTACATTTACCTCGCAATTTTGTAACCATCATGGCAACCCAAAGAAAATATTAAAATTTAAAAACTTTGAGTTACTTTTAAATTATGAAAGCATTGTCAAAAATTGAAATTGGTTTCGTAAAAAACTTTCAAACATTTGACAAAACAACCTTGTTAAGTTTGGCTAAAACATGTTTAGCCGTTAATGAGTTAATGTGTTAGAAAGTTTGCAGTGAAGGCGATCCCAAAGAGCTTCGCTTCGCTCCGCTCAATTATGTTTGGTTAAAGATAGCTTAAGCATAATCTCGGTTTTAGCGAATTTGCTATGATAGGGATGAGCTATGGCTGTTGGTGGCACGGAAAGACCTGGGCCCGGGACAGATTTACTTTTTCATTTTGGTGTCTCCAGAGGCATAAACCGTGCATAAACACTATTCGTTCTAATATGTTAAATCTTTGCCTTTAGGCTAACTTTTTATATTAAAACAAATGTTATGAAAGAAAACATACAAGTTTCTATGAATATGCTTAAATTTTCTTAAAATTTTAAACAAATCGAGGAGTTTTTTTAACACAAGTAAATATTCCAACTTTAGTAATGTTTTGTTCAAATTGTCTTTTTTTAAACATTTTATCTATTTAAACCGTCCAAAATCTATTAACCGTTATTCAGTTTCTTAGATTCGTGTAACATATGTCTATTATATTTGATAAAAAAATATTTAGAAACTTAAATGTAAATTAAAAAGAATATAAAAAAATAATAATCTTAAGATTAAATAAAAGTGAAGTATCGAGTCTAATGAAAAATATATATCATACATATTACATTTCAATGCTTATGTTTTCATCATAAGATTATTTTTGATGACATTTAATTAATTTCATAAGTTTTTTTATTACTTTTGAACAAATATGGACATATGCTGCATGAAATGAAATCATAATTTTACAAGCTTATACTGACTAGCTTGTAAAATTCTAATTTTATTTCACGCAGCATATGTCCATATTTGATCAAAAGTAATTAAAAAAACTTATGAAATTAATTGAATGTCATCAAAAATAATCTTTAGATGAAAACATAAGCATTGAAATGTAAATTAAACATGATCAATAGAGAGTTTGTTAAAAGCTAATGCAATTTCATGTATTAGAAGTTCCTGTTAAAACAAAATTATTGAAAAAAAAATTATTTAAATATTTACTAGGAATATTTTTTGGAGTTAAAATATTTTACTCGTATGTAGCTTTTATAGCTAAAACACACAATTTTTTCATTACTAATAAAAGGAATTTGTATATACACCTTCTCTGAAAGTTTTCCCGGATGTATTTATATGATTTTCTAAAAGTCTTAATGCTAAATCAAAATTAAAATGTGTATCAATTACAGTAGGTTTTTGAAATGTAAAAACTAAAGGTTTAGAGAAAGGAACTTGAGAGCTAGTTGATTTAAAACATTTTAAAAAACATAATTTATTTTAATACTGGATTCCTCGTTAGTCGTTTACTACACATTTGATTAATGTAGGCTACAAAACAGAAGAATCAATTAATAGTGAAAAACTGTGTTACTCGTTTAAATATATACAATATTCTTATAATTGTAACTGCCTCAAAGTTTAAAGGTTGGCTGTGAATAGTGTCGCTGTGTTATGATATCATGTGTCATTAAATACGTTTATAGGTCTACATTTAATTGATGTGAACCGAGTGAGATACAATGATCGTTATGAAAATTCAGAACATTAAATCAAATTTGATTGCTCATTGAAATGAAATTGAGCAGTTTTTAGTTCAAATGGAACATTTAAAGTCCTGTACATAGCGTGCACAATTAGTTCTTTATCTGAAGGCACCTTGTGTAGGATACTCAAATGAAACAAAATTTGTAGAATTAAAGCCACCATACGAAATGGTTACTGTCATAGGTAAGACTCATCATATTATATTTCGTGCTTTTCGAATAATACAGTTGCATTAGTGTTTTAAATTGTTTTGATTTAATGTTGAAGAAACGTTCAGCGACTTTTATATATCCAATGGTAGCAAGGCGATGCATTAAAAACATTCGGTTAGTCAAGTAAAACATAGAAACAAACTTAGTTAAGAACGCTTTGAAGTGTCTGGACTACCAGACTCAAAAATCTTGTGATTTTAAACAAATTGCATTTGATGAACGGTAAGTTAAACATGGTTACAGTTATCTTAGAAATGTCTAGTTTGATACAAACACATTCTTTTATATTTGTATGGTTAGTTTTCGATATATATGTACATATGTATTGCGAGGAAATCATATAATCATGCATTCAATCATTATCAATTTTTAGAGATTGAAACGCCAGATGGGTGCGTACTTTAACTTGTGAGTGTAGAATGGTGTGTGATGACATGTGTAGCTTTGTTACTGACTAAGTTAAGCTGTTTCATCAGTCAGGAGTATTTATTTAATGATCAGGAACAGCTAGGTCCGGTTTCGAACGATCAAAAAGCTACTGACTTTTCTCAGGATCGAACCGGTGACCTTTTTATTGTTAGGTGAGCATTATATTTACTCAGTTCCGTAGCCGGCCATTTTATAGGGTTACTAGTCTAAAATCCACCAGGCAAAGTATAAGGTCATTATTTCATAATTTTACATCTCAATATGACGCTCCTTAGAACTACAGGTAAAGTACTAAATACGCTGCTGAAAGACGCGTTTAGACTGTTTGGAGCTAAGTATTCACATAAAAACAAACTAACCTAACCTTCTCATGTAGAAAAAAAATAAACATATTTATTTCTTAAATTACATACATTACATAACATTTAACATACGCAGAGTACTGGCAGGACTATTAGTTTTATTTAGTAGCACATAATTGATAAATGTTAACTTTATTTATTAAACAATCAGACATTTAAATAACAGTATTAATTAAAATTTACT